AATATATAATTAATAGTGCAAATAATAATTAATGAGTATTTATACTTAACATGTTATTAAATTCATAACATATTAATTTTTAATTTTAATTATAAGCTTATTTTTTAATTTATAATTATCATCTTCACATTTAAATCCATAATTACCATAAATCCTGAATTATGATATCAAACATTTTCTCAGGATTTAATAAAATTTAACATTTGGCATACCAAACAGTTTTCAGGATTGAACACATTTTGAATTTACTAAATTAGATTTATGTACAGACTTCCCCCTTTTTACCTTCCGACTTCAACTACGATCCCGCTCAATCAATGGCCTCTCTACCCCTACTCTCTCCTCTCTTCCCCCTCAACCATCACACAACCAAGCGACCCAGGGTCAAAGCCTGTGCGGCGAGCAACGGGAGGCGGCCTTGGTGGACGCCGCTTTTTCACTCGGCTTTCACCGGGGATCATGGAGGATCGGAGGAGCTGGAGACGACGGGAGATTCTGTAGAAGAAGTGAAAGACGGAGGATCGCCGGCGGCGATCAGTTTCTCGGTGCTTACGCCGGAGAAGGCGAGGGTTCTGCGAAGGGAGTTGAGGGCGACGGAGACCTGGCATGACGCCATGTACCACTCCGCCATCGCCTCACGCCTCGCATCCCCGGATCAAGCTTAGCGTCGCCGCGATATCTTTGTCTGCGCGGTGATGGTTCTGTTATTTTTCTAATCGCTGTAAAGAAGCTTTTATCTACTGTGCAGAGCATCGTGTTCGTAAGGTAGGTTTGGATTTTTCTTTCTTTCCCCCTTTTTTTTTGGGCCGGAGGATGGAGAAAGTGGGAATCTGTACTGCCTATGTTATGTATGAAACCATATGTGCTTCTTCTCTGTGTGAACTGGTGCGAATCGTTGTGTGCTTCTTCTCTTTGAAGTTGTGCAAATCTGTTGCTCTATGTATTTTTAATTATATATATTAGCTATATCCCAGATCAAAACTTTCGATTTTTCTGCTTTCCCTAATCGGTTAGAGCGATCTGTCTGATGCCCCCCCCATAAACGAAGAGGCTGATATCTTCTCTGTGATTGTGCTGGTAAGCAAAAATGCCCCAAACTAAAGCCATATTTTTTAATTTTTGTATGAGATCCAGTACTTCAAAATTTTCATCATCTACTGCTCTGTGGCAGTCTTTTTCATTTCTGAATCCCTGTTTTTTTTAGAGAACAAAATTTTACAGAAAATTTTCAAAACAGTCTTGAGTTCTTTGACAGAAGAACCACATAGTAAATTGATTCAGCATTTGAGCCTGGGAGAGGCAGAGGAAGTTCAGCAAATTACCCGGAATCATCACGACTGTTGTGCTCTAGAAGATGGCTCTAGAAGATGCTAGAGATGGAGCTTGTGGAGAACGATAGATTTGATTTGTCTTGAATTTGTTTCGATGTCACGTATGTATGTAACCAAATAAAAAATAAATAAATTACACCAAAAAAATAAATAAATAAATAAATATATAACTAAAAAGTCATACAAAAATTTTAAGCGAATTCAGAGAAACTCAATTTGGACCTGACACAAATTTTGGATTAGGGTCAAATCGGATTCAAAACGGGTCAGATTTGGATTCATCAAATTGAACCATTTCAAAAATTGGGTTGACCCAATAACCCAAAATTGATCCATATTTTACTTAGAAATTTGAGATTGGCTCATTTTTTTTAATTGAAAATTGGAGATTAATCGTTTTTTTGACCTGAAAAATAGTAATTTTTGGTCGGCCTCAAGACATTTGTGTCGTGTCGGGTTGACCTGGATCTAAAGCAGATCGAGTTCGGGTCCGAAGAATCGACCCGTTTGTTGCAAAATAGGTCAGATTCAGGTTGACCCAAATAGTGTTGGGTCATCCTGAACCCGATCTATGACCCGATTTATTTATTTATTATGATGTTAGTCATAGTGAAATAATGGTTGGAAGTTGTTTTTTTTTTTAACAAAAAATTCCATTAAGATAGAAAGATACAGCACAAGATCGCAAAAAGGACCACATCAATGGAATTACAATTAATGATGATTAAAGGACTCATGTAACAATATGCTTAAAGGCTTGAGGAACCTTAGAACATCTTGCATCAGAAAATATTTGTTGGTTTTATGTTCCAACAAACGAGGTTAAATAATTTGGATGTTGGCTCGATTTCCAAATGATTTATGCAATGATGTGTTTGGAATGCTGAGATATTCCAAAGGTTTGTTGATCGCTCTTTTAGGCTCTCTAGAGATCATTTGGGAGCTTTAAGAGAGCTTTGAGAATGATAAATAAGGGAGTGAATGACTTAGATTTTGGTTCTAAGATCCAACAATTGATGTAGTGACGTTGTTTGGAAACTTTGGAAGTTTCAAATTGTCACACATGAAAGGGAAGAATGGAAAAAGTATCATCACCCTTAATCAAAAAAAAAAAAAAAAAAATTATCAACAGACAATTTCGCACCATCACCAACAATCGGACTATCACTAAGATTAATACAACAGTTACTATTAGAAACAGCCATAAGGGCAGGAGCAACATTAGGAGAAACAACATCAGCAGGCACAGGAGCTGTAGAGGAGAGAGCAGGGCAATACACTTGCCCAACAGAAGGCACACCCACAATACATTCATTACTAGCATGGATAGGGGAGTCCACCAAAACAACAGGAGAGCCACCCGAACAAATAGCAGCAACAGAAACAGGGACAACCGAAGATTGAAATTGGTAAGATGGAATTAACTCAACCCCAACATCACCAATAACGAGCACAACAACAGGAGACACAGCCACAAAAATATCCTGATACACAGGCGGTAAAACAATAGGAGACGAATCATCAATAGTAGGATTAGGAAGGATAAGGGTCGTATCCTTCCCAACATCCCCGTCACCAACAAGAATATCAATTTCATCAGAAACCCATAAATCTGGTTTAGACAAAGGAGGAGCAACAGGCAAACTAACATCAAGAGTTGGACGGCAGTCACCAAAAGCATGACCAAGACGCTTACATTTGGAACAAAAAAGAGGAAAATCCTCTATAATAACTTGCAGGAAATACCCAAGTTTCTCAGGACCTAACCAAATCTTATTCGAAAATTTCTTCGTGATATCAATTTCCACAAGCACACGGGCAACAGAAGTTCCAATCCATGCAAGATACGATGAGAGAAAAAATGGGGACGCAAATTAGGGAATGAGATCTAAATCGGGACAATGGGAGACTCATCCCCAATGTCACCGGACGGAGACCATTTGGACACCTTCATTAAGCAATTGAAAACCAAATAAGACCTATGAAAAAACACCCTACTATAGTCATGATCATTATCCAGCTTAATGAGAACATGAGATGAATGGGAAGGCCGCCGCGAAGGGAAGAAGCCAACAAGTGAAAACTTAAATGGTTCGACAAGAGCAAAGAACTCCTCTTTCGACACCAAAAGTGCAGGAACACCACGAAAAGAAGATAGAATAAGATTAGGAAATCTACCAGTAGAAGATCCCGCCAAAGCTTCCAAAAACGAGTGGGACCTAGCCGAACCATCCAGAAAACCAGGATCATAAGAAAGACAAACCGCCATTCGGTAACAAAGAAAATGAATGGGGAAAAGAACTTCCCTTGGCAAGCGGAAGAAGCCAAGCACTGCCGGCAGAGAGCGGTTAGGGCAAAGCCCTAGAAAGCCCTAGCCCAGCATAGAGACAAAACGTCAGGCTCGGCAGCGACGTCAATGCGCCTGGGCTTCACAGACCGGGCTTCCTGTACTTGAGAGGACCTCGCGTTTGAGATCGGTTCAGATTGTCGGAGCTCCCGTCGAAAGAACAAATTCCCCCTTTCTATGAGCTTACCGACGATTTGTGGTTGGAAGTTGTTAGGATTGTAAGCAAGTTATGTCGAACTCGAGTTATCCCACGTTGGAGTTTGGACTTATATAAAAATGAGAAATTAAGAGAAAATTAATAAAGAATCATTTAATCTAAAAAAATGAGATGTCATTTTTAAATTTTTAATAAATTTATCTTTAAATTTTTTAATGTTAATATATTTTAAGCTTACAATGACAGTTAAGACGCACGCGAGGTTATCATCATACAAGAGATATTTGTTAAACAAGAGACAAAATATTGAAAGAGGCAACGTTAATTAAGTGAGATGACCTACAGATTTAGGCTTCGTTTGAAACAGCTTTTTTATTGCTTTCTAAAATAGAGTTTTAGTACAATTTTTTTTTATTTTTTTATTAAAACTCTGTTTTAAAAAAGAGTAAAAAAGCTGTCTCAAACGAAGCCTTAAAAGGAGATACAGAAGCGAGATTTCTTCCAAAGCATAATACACATCGATTCTCATCAATTATTAACAAGTTTCATTTTCTTTATCTATGCAATGCAAGCAATATTTTCTGATGAAAACTATAAATAGCTGAATTGTGGGATTAATTGGGATATTTCTCTCTACATGCATGCATATCTCAAAAAAAAAAAAAAAAATGATACTCTTGCGATTCTAAAATTAATATATCATCGAAAAATTATTTTCATCGGACACGAATCTCGAAGCAAAAATCATGTTGGAAATTTCAAAAATTAAATTGGAGACCATTTGAACTCTGATTCCAACGAATTTATAGTCGAACTGAACGTCTCGGAATCTTATCAATTTCAGGGACGAGTCAGCCAGTTGTAACTTAATCAAACACTTGTGGAATCTTATCAATTGGGCGTGATCCCGTGGTTTTTCCCGTAAAAATACTGGTATTCCTTTATTATTATGTTTGTGTGTTGGATATCCATGCAACGCTGAGACGAAAATTTTCTAACTGTATCACCACGTATATTCTAACCCACAACAAAAATATTCTTCCCTTTCTATTTTCTCTAAACATTAAGAAAAGACATCCATCTCGCTTATGTAATTGAGTCAAATAAAACTTAAAAATTGGAATTTATCACTACTCAGAATTTATTTGGGGTAGTTTTAAGTTTTTTTCCACTTTGTTTTGTAAAGCAACTTTTTCAACCACAATTTTAAAAATAATTTTTAAATGCAAAAAATTGAATGGTATGCTCTTTGATTGCTAAAATTCTATGAATTAATAATTATAGAAGTCTTGAGATCACACCTCCATTTGGACAACTTTTTTGCAATTTTGCTTTTCCAAATTTCATCACAATTTTTATTTGGTCAATATTTTTTTTATGCTTTCAAGAAAAATTTTTTTGCACTATAAAGTTGTTTTCCATAATAGCTTCAAAAAATTACTCTCTCATCACCATTGAGCATCGTTCTTAATAACCACCCCCACCTGGCAATTGCCACCACACCACCGCCATCACATAAGGGGTATATGGATCGGTTTTATGAAAAACATGCAGATTTTATGAATTTGCATCGGTTTTAACCGGCGCAAATCTGGTTATTTGCACCGGTTAAAACCGATGCTAAAGCAAGCGATTCGCAACTGCTACCCCGCCGGTTGTAAAACCGCTGCTAAATATCGTTGCAGCGCATAATAATTACAGCGTATCCGTAGCGGTTTTATAACCGCTACAAAGGAATTTGTGGCGGTTAAAACCGCCATAATAGCCCAGAATTTGTGCTGCGAATATCTTATTTTTTGATAGTGCGGATGATGCTACCAACTGTGACAATCATTGATTTTAAAATAGTTTTGTACTTATATCCTCCTCAGCAAATCAATAAGAGACATCGAATCTCCCTGCATGGTAGATATTTGTTATATAATTAAACTTTGATCATTTATCTTTTGTGTGCTTGTATGAAACTAATCCTTTTTTCTATTGATTCTCAAAGCTCGAGAAATTTACTCAATTTTCCTTTCATTTATTGATTCTCAAACAAATTCTTCTCTTTTATTCCCACCCGAACAAACAAAAACTTATTTCCTTCACGCTATCATCTTCTCATCTTAGTTTGTTAAATATCGAACTTTTTTCTTTTTTTCTG